CTCCTTGTTCGAAAACCTCCCAAGCCCTTTGGTAGGCTTTCATTTTGACTGACCATATGGGATTGTTTTCACCATTGAAGGTTGGTGGTGCTGTGTGAGAGAAGTTGCCCGCCGTTATTTTTGAGGATTAATGGCTTCTGTGTATTAAAGGTTTATCTTTTTGAAGGTTGTGTGTAGGTTTTCATCGTTGTCATACCTTTAAGATCATAACAGCTCTAATACCATGCTGTAATTTTAAGAGAGAATTTGCAATACTGATCATAGCCATTAACGAGGGCTGGAGAAAATGCAGTAAAGCATAGAACTAATTTGAAAAATAATAGAAGAGAAGAATTGCACTGATTCATTAACATTTCATGATTTAAATTACACTGATAAAAGAAGTAAAACACTAACTGAAATGTCATTTTCTTTCTGCATTACACCAACTAAGAACAGAAGGAAGACATCTAATCAATTGCATGGATTGGCTGCATGACCGTGAAATATCAACATGCAAGCTGAGGCTGAGCAAAAAAAAAAGAAGCAAGCTGATGATCAATAAAAAACAAAAATAACAAAGAACTTGCATGAGCATGAGAGCGGCGATTGTCTTCCCTCTAAGTCTTAGCTTCAATAGTAGTACTACTTGATTACTTTTATTTAGAGGCAAGCTTGGGATATATAACTCCTTTCCTTCAGAAGTTCTGAATACCGAAAACATGAAATATGAACATTGAAATGCCATGACTGATATTAATTTGTTGAAACTTGAAACACGTTTGTAATTCTAAGGAACTCTACAAGAATTTTCGAGAAGGTCAAACAAAGTACGGATTATCTTAAAAGATCTTATCTGATAGTACTTGTTAGTTGTAAGACATCCTGGACTCAGTTGCACCGCCGAATGAGTAGCCTTTTTTTCTCTTGAAGACGTGCAGTTGTGATTAGTTGATTGCTTTCAACACCTACCTCGAAATCACAGAGGAAGGTGCAGTTATGATTAATCGAACATGAGCTTGACGAAAGTAACTATCAACACTCTGAGGTTGAAAACGTTAACAGAAATTTTCAATATGATGATAATTTTGACAGGAAAACTATACCCTCAAGGGTGAATGGTAATTAACCCGCCAATTGTTTTAAGTGTGCCAGCGAAAGGCTTACGGACAAGTCCATGTAATGTACGTGAAGTTCACATGAATATGAGGTCTCCTTCTTGTCTTATTAGTTCGATTATTAGATCAAACCGGTCGAGGCCAAATCATGTTGGAAGCCATGAGGGCCATGACAGCAAAGAACTAGGTATCAACTTCATTCCTGGAATGAGAAGCTTAGCCTTTTGGATGGACCCTTATCCAAAATGACGCAAAATATTTCTTTTGGGAAATAAGTTCCTTCCAAAAGCAAATGGTACCCTCTGCTCATAATGCAAGGAACATTTGTTAACTGGAGTGACAGTTTAATGAAAGGTTAACTTCACTCCCTAGAAAAAGTGATATGTAAGCTGGAAAAAAAATGCATTTATGTGATAAATGATGGCAGAATAAGCAATAAATGGCCTCTTGGAAATAGAAGTTTTGACAGATTATATCCACATATGCATTACCATGTATTGTTTAAGTATCCTAATTAAAATGACCTACCATTATCCATCAATGGCTGATTTTAATTGTATTAGTACACGGCCACCATCAGAAACAATATGACGAGAAGAATCACTTGGGTTAAAAAATTGTCATTATATATATTGGTTACAAAGAATAATTAAATTCGCAAGGAAATGGGATCGCAAAAAACAATCCACCATTTCCACTTGCTTCCTATCTAAAATCGCTGTGAATCAGTTGAGCTAGGGAGAGTTAATCTCTACTTTATTAGCCATTTTGACGTCTACTCTCATGAGCTTTACAGACTGCAAGTGAGATCAATGAAAGCTTCTTCGTTGCAGGGGATTGTAAGAGCACCCATAGGATGATTAAATCTATACTCTTCTTCAGCTTGACTCAACAAATTCTGGAAGGAAGGATCCTTTAGGAATGAAATTGGGACAATCAATCTTTTCTTTTGAGTTTCTCCGACATAAACAGCAAAGTGGCCTTTGGGAACTGGTGTGTTCTTTGAAAATGGAAGAGTCCGTTTTAGACTCTGCTTGGCACTAACAATTCTGGGCAAGCAGAAACCCTTGGTTTTGAGAATTGAGATTGTTTTACAAGAAGCAGATAAAAGAAATGTCTGTGTCGGAACTTAGAGAATTAGGAAGGCTTTGGCACTGCAGGGTGGCTATCAACGGAATGTGTATTTATAGGATGCAAATGCTTTATGGTTGGCAATCCCAGGCTGACTGCATGGTGAAGAAAGGGTCCCTAAGGAAGATCTTTAAAGACATACCCTATGAGGAATCACACGGCCTTGCCTCCCAAATGATGATAAAATTTTGACAAATTTCGAAGCGTAGTCTATTCTGTTGCAATCTATCATGGCTTACAATTCAATGAAATATACCAACAATGATGGCCCATTACAAAATCATTGAATCGTGGCCTGTTGATAATAACTTTACTTAGCAGATCATGTGGATGAAATATTAAGAAGCAAAATAATCACAATAATATCCAATATTTGGAGACTGAGTTGGTTTGCTAGCCCTACATGTTTGCTGGTGATCAGGATCAACACCAGAGCTGCTACTAGTAACACCTGTTCTTTAACTATGTCGAACACTGAATGAAACAGGCTACATACCCATGTGAGATTGTCTCGTTTCTTCAACAAGTGAGGAACAGAATTCAAGTAACTTGATTGGTTGAGCACTTGAGCCTAGATTTTAAGGGATGACAGGTTGAACAGAAGCACTACCATTAACCAACCTAGTAATTACTGATAGTCCTTTGTTTAAGTTGGAAACTTAGCTCTTCAACCACCATGAGGATCAGGAAATTTCTATTCTAAACACAAGCCAATACTCAAATAATTACAAGGAGTGAAAATCTCAATATTTTGCAAGCGTGACAATACATGACACAATATATGTTAGAACAAGAGATCGGAAAACAAAAATTATTAAGTAAAAGCTTTAAAGTGTGTATCAATGATTTCTACTTAATGACTAACTTGGTTTTGTACTGATGAAACAATTCTCTGAGCAATCATTAATGTATGACAAGAGTATCAAACTCTTAGTGTTTTTTTTGCAACAAAGCATTATAGAAGTAATTTGGAGAATATAGAAAAAGAAAAAAAATGATTGATAAAATTGTTTGTATATGTTTTTTCCTAGATAGGAGTTCTTATTTAAAGAAAAATATCTATTGTACACATATAATTGTTTAGACATATTAGACACAACTACAAATATATTATTATTTAATTAAACAATTTAGACTTATTTTTTAAAATATCAATTGAATTAAATGATTACAAAATTTGAATTTAGATTTTTTTTTAGCTTTCTCTTTTGTCATTCTATTTTCCTATTACAAGCAATTTGTAAAATAAATAAAAATAAAAATTGAGCAAAAGCCAATAGACAAATATAATGGGCCAAAAGATGTAGTTATGGTCCAAAAACTATATGAGCTCGATAAACGTTTAAAGTTATCCAAAATAAAATAAAATACTCTGTTTATATGCGATAAAACAATTTCGAAAGTTAAACCGTGAAATTTAATAGAAACATTCACATGTCAATCGCTACTAATTGTACTAGTAAGGATTGTAGTTGAAGTCGGTAAGCAATGTCTACCCACTGGATGGCCTTATGTTTAGATAACAATTGTATTAGTAGCCAACATCAAATTAAGCAAAGGTATCGATCAAGAATATGTCTGGAAAAATTTTTTTCTCTTCTATACATTCATTCCAAAAAAATTAATTGAAGTTCACAAGGGCATGGGATTGCTTAAAACAATCCACCATTTACACTTGCTTCCAATATAAAATTGCTATATTTTGTCAGCTGAGCTAGAGATAGTTAATCTCTGCTCAGGTTAGCCATTTTAAAATCAACTCTCATTAGCTTCGCAGACTGCCAATGATATCAAGGAAAGCTTCTTCGCTGCAGGGGATCATCAGAGCTCCCATGGGATGATTAAATCCATACTCTTCTTCGGCTTCACTCAACAAATTTTGGAAGGAATGATGCTTCAGGAATGAAATTGGGACGACAAACCTCTTCTTTTCAACTTCTCCAACATAAACAGCCAAGTGGCCTTTGGGCACTACTGTGGTTTCTGAAAATGAAAAGAGTCCGGTTTAGACTCTGCTTAGGATTAACAATTCTTGGCAAGCGGAAGCCCATGACTTTGTGAATTGGGATTCTTCTACAAGTAGTAGAAGGAAGAAAAATGGATGTGTGGGACTTAGATAAGTAGCTAGGAAAAACTTTGACACAGGGAAGCTATACTAAGAATGTGTATTTATAGAGAGCAAATGCTTGATGGTCAGCAATCTCAGGCTGAATGTGTGGTGGAAGAGAGAGCCCAGTGGAGAATTTTTAAAGACATAGGGTATCGAGATTCACATGGTCTTGCCTCCCAACTAAGGATAACATTTTTGACTAGTTTCTTAGTGGAGTCTACTCTGTTGCAGTCTACCATAGCTCACCATTCAATGGAACCAACAATGATGGCCCATTTCAAATACTGTTATCATCGAATCATGGCCAGAAGATAATGACTTTACTTTGCGGATCATATGGATGAAATGCTATGTAGTTGAGACCAGCAAAATATCAAAATAATCATATCCACTAGCGACTATGAGTTGGTATGCAAGCCCTACATGTTGGCCGATTAATAGGATTAAACACCAGAGCTGCTTTTACTATTTGTTCTATGACTCTGTTCGACGCAGAACGACACAAGTTACGAGTCCGTGTGCAATTGTTTGGTGCCTTCAGCAAGTGAGGAACTGGTGATGTTAGGAATTGGTTGGTTTAGCCTCTGTTTTAAGGGATGATAGGTTGAACAGATGCACTGACCACCCTAGTAATTAATGATGTTATGCTAATCCTCCAGAATCACCCAATCTAGACTAAAGACGTTTATGGAGTAGACAAAGAAATCTTTTCTGATGCTTTCTCTCTATTTTGCTTTCTTGAAGTTGGATACCAATCAACAGCATATATTGTGTAAGTTGTATAGATCATGTCAACAAGCCATTCTTAATTCTTTCAGATTGCTGTATTAAGTGATTTACAAACATTAACAACAAAAAAAGAAAAAGAAATTTTTCATTTTAGTTGACCCGATTATTCTTTTTAAAAGTCAGATGCGGCCGGGAAAGTCAAATCTTCAACTATCGTGAGGAGAAGGAACTTTTAATCTAAACACAAGTCAATCCTTAAGTAGCAGTTCAAAGCAGTGCGAACCTCTCATCGATTTATTTGGCGTCAGAATATAGGTATGGTATTCGCTGTGTCTCCTGGATTTCTTTCAGTATATTATCACGTCTAATAAAAGAATCCCAAAATATATTCACTTCTTTGTAGTCTCTTTTACGGTGATAACTCCATTTCCATGTTAAAAAAAAATGCACTTACAGATAATGAGAAAAGAAAATCATGGATGGAAATATAATAGATTATATACAGGCAAGATGCTATGTCATAAAAATAATTCATAAATTGAAGGTATTGTGAACTTTAAATACTTAATATCACTTTAATGTAAAATTGATATGAGATTCATGATTTTTTTTAAGAGTTTATTTTTAATGTAAAATTTATGACTCTATCCAGTAAAATATATCTCTTCTATTTGAAATTCACATGACTTCCCATTGAGATTATGACATAAGAAATAACACTAAGGTGGCGTTTGGTACATTACAATGCAATGTAATTACAGGTAATGTGTTTGCAAGTAATGTGATTGCAAGCAATGTGATTACAGGAAAAATAACATTAACAACGTCGCTACCGCGTCATCTAGCAAAGTAATGATAAAAATGCAAGGAAGATAATATTGCAGTGTTTGGTTTACAAGTACTTTAGTGGGAATATAATGTTAATTGTCAAAATTACCCTAATTATTAAAATTAAGTTTAATAATATATTATATTAATTTTTATATAATATCATTTCTTAAATATATTTTTAATATATTATTTATTTTATTTATTATTATAATATTTTATATTTTATTTTTTAATTATTTATATTTTATTATTAATTTTTATATAATATCATTTCTTAAATATATTTTTAATATCATTATTTATATTTTATTTATTATTATAATATTTTATATTTATTTTTAATATATTTATATTTTTATTATTAATTTTTATATAATCATCTTCTTAAAATATATTTTAATGTCATATATTTTATTTTAATTTATTATATAATATTTAATATTTATTATTTTAATATATTATATTTTTATTATTAATTTTATATAATATCATATTTTTAAATTATTTAAATATCATATATTTTATTTATTATTATATAATAATTTATATATTTTATTTTTAATATATTTATATTATATTATTAATTTTATATATATCATTCTTAAATATATTTTAATGTCATATATTTTATTTTATATTATTATAAATATTTTATATTTTATTTTTAATATATTTATATTTATATATTAATTTTATATAATATCATATTAAATATATTTTAATGTCATATATTTTATTTTTATTTATTATTATAATTTTATATATTTTATTATTATTTTAATATTTTTTTATATTATATATTTTATTTTAATTTGTTTACCTATATATATATAAATGTAATTTTTGATATTTTATTTTATTTTAATTTTTATTCTTATATATATTTTATTTTAATATTTTTATTTTAATTATAATATTATAAAATATTTTAATAAGGTAATAAAATTGAAGGGTAAAATTGTCTTTAAGAACATTGCAGAATGTAATGTAATGTGATTGCATTGGTTTTGGACTGCAATCACACTTACATCCATTGGCTGTAATGTGATTGCATTGCAATCTTACATTGCAGTGCATTGTTACAAAACAAACGTTGCAATGTAATTTAATAAGCCACATTGCAGATAATGTGTTTTACATTACAGTATACCAAACGGACCCTAAGACTTTAATTTGACTTCGCTTTTCAAGCTGTGTTTGGTAATTGAAAAATAGCTTCATGAAGGAAACATTTTTCAACAAAAAATATTGCTCTTGGAAAAATAAACTCAGGAGTCGGGTTTGAAGACAACGGAGGGAGATTGAAGGTTCAAGTGATTGTCGGATATGGATTCAAGGATCGAGAAGCCAGGGAGGGGACGAGCATGCAAAGGTTAGAGGGAGGAGAGATCAGAGAGGATTTGTTGTGGAGATGAAAAATATCTTACGTTCTTAAAAGTGAAATATATTTTTCCAAGTCAACAAACGTTTTTTTCCACTAACCCACAAATGTTTTACCTTTATGCAAAGATTTTCCTGTTTCTAATCACTTGAAAATGCTGGAAATATTTTTGGAAAAGCATTTTCAAACTTTCCAAATAGACTCTTAATTACTTTCTGAATTTTATTACAGTTACAACATTGTACTATACTTAATAATTTTGTACATGATATAGTAATACGATAAGCACATGACATGAGTTTAAGCGGGTTTAAGTTTGGACTAATCGTATTTTGTGTATTAATCGCATCGATCTGTTTAAAATATGAATAAATTGTGTCTTAACTATGTCAAGCTCATTTAATTCATCTAAAACATGATTAATTAAGCATGTTATCGTGTATTCATATAACCTATAACTCGTTTATAAATCATTTATTTAATTGTGTTCACATGTCATGTAGACACATTTAATACTCAGTTCAATTTAATTATTTTAATCATGTTAATCATATAAATCGTGTATTAATTATATCAATCGTGTAAATAGGTTATGAATCGTATAAATTTTAATTATATTAATTATGTCATGTCATATAAAATTTAATTCGACACGTTTAATAAATATATCAATTATGTCATCTCATATTATACGTTTATTAAACGTATCAATATATGTGTTTAAGATTCTAACATAATTAATTAATCTTATTGTATTCATATTTACTCATATAATTGTTAATACTTTATGTTTACCCAACATGATTAAGATACAAATATACAAATTACCAGATCTACACTGTACTAGTAGTCTACGTTTACATTAATAAAATTAAAAACTTTAGAATTACTGTCGTAAATGCTTAATTCACAAAATAAAACTAAAATGCAAGAAATGAGTTATAGCGTCTTAAAACTTTTTCTCAAAGATTAATCTATCTGCATTCTCTGCACCAAAGTGTTGATCGGAAATTTCAGTTTGGTGATAGTTTTGGCCTGGAAACTATACGCTCAAAGGATAATCGACCATCCATTTAAGTGAAATGTGCCAGCAAATAGGTCTAGGGAAGCTTGCGAGTTACAAGAGACAAGTCCATGTAATGTACGTGAAGTTACGCAAGAGGCGCGGTCCACTTCTCATCTCATACGTTCCAAACCTGTCTAAGGCCACATGGCCCATAAAACGCCATCATATTAGAGGCCATGAGAGCCATAGGCTATGACAGCAAAGAAATGGCTACCAACTGCATTCCTGAAATGAGATGCTTGTCCTTTTACATGGACCCCGTATATCCAAAACACTGGAAAACAATTATTTTTTAAAAGAAATAAGATGAATTCCCATCCAAATTGACCCTGATCATGTATGGAACTTCTTTTAACCCAAAGGGACAGATTAGTGCACAGCCACCATTAGAAACAATATTCAGGAGAAGAACAAGTCGATTTTCTTAATAAAAAATGATCATATATATATTTATATTGGTTACAAAGAATAATTAAGTTCACAAGGGCATGGGATCGCAGAAAACAATCCACCATATTCACTCGCTTAGTAAGTAAAATTGGTACTTGTCAGATGACCTAAAGAGTCAATCTCTTTCTTCGGCTAGCCGCTTTCACATCATAGCTCAAGAGCTTTGCAGACCGCAAATGAGATCAAGAAAAGCTTCTTCGCTGCAGGGGATTGTCAGAGCACCCATAGGATGATTAAATCCGTACTCTTCTTCAGCTTGACTCAGCAAATATTGGAAGGATGGATGTTTCAGGAATGAGATTGGGACAATAAATCTCTCCTTTTCAGCTTCTCCAATGTAAACAGCAAAGTGGCCTTTGGGCACCACTGTGGTCTCTGAAGATGAAAGAGCCCGTTTTAGACTCGGCTTAGCATTAACAAGTCTTGGCAACCGGAAACCCATGACTTTTTGTGAATTGAGATTGTTTTACGAGTAGTAGATGAGGAAATGTAAGTGTGGAACTAGATCTTAGGGGACTAGGAAAGGCTTTGGCACAGGGTGGCTATCCATTAGAATTTGTATTTATAGAGAGCAAAAGCTTTATGGTCAGCAGTCTTACCCTAATTGAGTGGTGAAGAGAGAATAGCATTGGAAGACCTTTAGAGACATATGTTGTGAGGAATCACATGGCCTTGCGTCCCAACAAATAATAACATTTTGACAAATTTGGTATCGTGGTCTATTCTGTTGCAATCTATACATTATAGCTTACCATTCAATGAAACCAAAAATAATGGCCCATGGTGAGATACTATTATCATTGAATTATAGCTAGACGATAATGACTTCACTTTGCAGGTCATATGGATGAAATATTCTGTGGTCACTATCAAAAGAATCAAGGTAATCATATCGACTAGCGACTATGAGACGGTATGTTAGCCCTACATGTTTGCCCATGATCAGGATCAAAGACCAGAGCGGCTTGTACTGTTTGTTCTCTGAATTCTGTTGAATGCAGAATGAAACAAGTTATTAGTCCATGTGACACTGTTTGGTGATCTGAACAAGTGAGGAACCGGTGACCTTAAGAAACTTTGGTGGGTGAGCCTCCCTTTTAATAGATAATAGGTTGAACAAGCACTAAACTAACCTGGTAATGATGTTATGCTAATTGTCTAGAATCACAAAATCTTGACTGTAGAGATTTATGAACTATACAAAGAAATCTTAATTTAGTTGACAACAGATTTTCTTTTCCCAGTAGACAGGGCCTGGAAAGTCTACTCTTTAACTGTCATGAGGATCGGGAACTTCTAATCCAAACACAAACCAATCGTTAAGTAGTTGTAAGTGGTGCATACCTCTCTTTGGTGTCTAATCGCCCTGACCTGGTGCAGGCCACAATATTTATAGTTCCAATCTAGGATGTTCTCAGTGCCTATTAAATGAGCCAACTATTCCACTGTCAAATCTTTCAGGCCTAGTTTTAGCTACCCAATAGCTGAGATTGATTGAACAAGAGAGACTAGGTAAGGTCAAAAATGCACACATTAGTTTGCCTTATTACTTCTCCGCAGTACTTTTAGATCAGTACTAAACTACGTAAACGCTAAAACGTGGTCTCCCCTTACTGGCAATTGCCTGCCTTGAGATTACATTCGAATGTGCTAAAAAGGATATATCTTCCATGAAAGTGCAACAAGTACGGCTAGTTTTTGGGTAACTAACTCTGCAAATTGCTTTCTACCATATACTGCTCTAATGCCATTTGCCATTGCCCCTGTGATGGATAATAGATAATGAATTCTAATAGGTCAGTATGAAACTTCAAAGAACAAAAAAAAATTGAGAGATCACAGGCAAATGAATCAATACATATTTTCTTACACAATTCTGCAGCTATAACAATGGATGAAAAACGTTATGGTCATTTGTCGAATAAATACAAACCATGGAAGAGAAGATAAGATGATGAGCTTTTGTATATACCAGAAACAGAGATCTGACGTTACATTAAAGCTTATAATGTGGATGAATAAACAAAATAATCTGAAGTCCTACTACAAAAAAATTGGGATTAGGTCAATGGGGCTAATTAGTTGTTAAATGACTCCTTTGGATTCTGTGCTAGTCATTATATGTTTTCCATGTCATAGGAATTCTACAAACTGCAGGTGATATCTAGGAAGACTTCTTCACTGCATGGGATGTTGAGACCACCCATAGGATGATCAAACCCAAACTCTTCTTCAGCTTGAACAAGCAAGATCTGAAATGAAGGATGCTTCAAGTATGAGATTGGAAGAACAAATCTCTTCTTTTGAGTCTTTCCAACATAGACAACTAAATGGCTGCTAGGCACATGATCAGTGGTCTCCGGGGACAAAAGAATGCTCCGTACAAACTGTTTAGCTTTAATAATCCCAGGCATATGGGAAGCCATGACTAATTAAATTGCAACTCTTTAGAGTTTTTCGGATCTTGAGATGAATGTCTAAAGCTTTTGGAAAAGCAAATAAAAATGATATGCTGGATGGCAATCTTTGTATAGTTGTATATACATTCTAAGTTTCTTTGACCAGTAAATGGAAGTGGATTATGTGGCCAAGAGAAAATTCACTTTAAATGGGGTCTGTTTAGGACGTATGTCCTGCGTCACATGGATTTGCCTTCCACTAGCTATATATTCATAAGATTTTGATAGATTTGCTAACAAACCTTTTGCAAGCATGGATTTTTCATGGCCTACCAGTCAATAGAAAAAGAAATTACGATGGTCCAGCTGAAATTCGCATGGATGTATCATGAACTTTATGATTACAAAGCTTAGCCAACATACCAGTTGGGTGAAAGACTATAGACTTTAATATGCAGATGAAATCATTCATTTTTTTGCTAAATGGCAAGTCAATGTATTGTGCATATGTGCTTTTTCTGATCGTAATGCACATCAATAGCAAATCAGATGGATGAAAGACTAACTACTAGACACCAACATTCAGATAAAATTGCAGATGCTTTATCAATACATCCGATCAAACAACTATTTATAATACACTTCAGTACCATGTGTGTACAAGTCTTATGACTTAACTGATTAGACTCGCAAACAAATTATTTTCAGCTCATGTGAAGTTGTTTCATGACCTGTACAAGTGTGATGAACATTATAGCTTGTGGGGCCTAAACTTGAAGGGGTGATAGGTTGAATGGAAACATTAAACCAACCCAGCTTATGATATTTTTTTTCCAATCCTGCCATGTCTAGTCTCAAATTGTTAAGAACTGCCAAACCTTACTAGCCATGGCTTTGGCAGAGACTCTTTTATGTGTGTCTGCAAATTTTAGTGGATGGTTCTAATAGATTCTAATATTATAATTGATAGACCATCATGTGGCTTTCACAAGGATTGAGTATTTGGTGGTTGCTTATGGTTTTCTAAAGAAGAACTGATTATTGACTGAATATGACCATTAGACTTGCAATAAATTTTTCCTTCTTCATAAGGAAAACTGCAGATTCACTAAAAGAGTAGTTCAACTTGTATGCACAATATTGGTAGGGCATTATGTTAGAGCACACAAAAACATATGACCACTCCCCATATCAGGGATCTAGGATGAACAATGTGATTTTTGTGGTGTTTTTGTGTATCCTTTTGAATCCAATGTATCTCGACCCCTCTGTATTTGGTAAACATGGCAATGAATGACCATAAAAATCTTCCAACCTCCTACATCATTTTCTGTCATAAATTTCTATGTTTTCTTGTACCTTTGAGGATTTGTCTTAAGCATAATAATCTCTTGTTATGTTTTGACAGGAACAGAAAAGGAGAATCTAGTATTAGTTCTGGTTCATACATGAATCAAGAACAGTACTTGCTGAGATCCACCGGGGAACTTACTGCTGTCATCCATTGCGTTGCCTTTCCTGTCGCACAAATGAGTTCTCTGTCAATATGTTGGCCCTTAGCTACGTGCACCAAAAGAGTATGACAAAAACATCAAAACGGAATCTCCTCCAATTTGGTGCAGAGAAGAGTTAAACAGTTACCTGATTATTTAGGCTATGTAAAGGGAAGCAGAGGTTTTGTTGGACTAATAAATTGCAATTGAAAGTGTCTACTGCTTCTATGGCTGTAGCAGAGTTCGAATGGAAAGTTTGATTTTATCCCTCCTCTTTATTATTCTTCGTTAATTAACTTTAGAAACAAACCGTTGTAAAGAAAAAGCATGATTAGGAACTTTCGAGAAATAACACATTGTTGGATATCATCTGAGATATCCCAATGATGACAGTTTTAAAATGACATTGATGCTTACCCTTCACCTTGGTGCACACATTTGACACAGACCATTCATTCACATTGAACATATAACAGTATAGAAAGGACATTGATGCTTACTCTTCACCTCCATGGATTCATTTGACATAGACCATACATTGATCATTCAAAGATCTGACGTGAATGTATGTAATTGACATGTCAACAAGAAATATAACACTAATCAGATCAATGGACAGAAAATACCTGATTTTTTTTTTTGAAAAGTAAAGAAGCACTTGTTAAGATTTGAACCAAGACCTTTAGCAAATAATGCAGTATCTTTATCATCACACCTAAGAAAATACCTGATTAAAGTAACAGTAAACCATAAAATTATTATCATGTTATGTTATAGTCCTAAAGAATCATATTTGCAAACGAAACACAGTAGTCAATCCAGTTTAGTAAAGTCAATTAATTAGGGAGCTACCTGTGTTGGCCGGTGCGTGTGCGTTTTGAAAGTGTGTTAGTCTATCACATGTTGTGCCTCAACTCAAAAAAATCAAAAAGGACAGAGATATTGCCAAAAAGGAAATAGTACTTGCAATTTGGAAATAACTTCTTTTTTACAAATTAATTAATTAGCTGAATTGAGTCCGACTTGAGCAAGTTAGTCCAGGATACCAGTCTTAAATGAATGGATGAGAGGAATACTACTACTATAACAAAAGCTAGCTGATCTCAAAAGGTCTTGAAACATCGTTTGGGCCAAGTGGTGGGGATATATAGGCACTGCAATAACCCTCAAAAGTATGTTGGGTGGTTGGCACATAGAAAAGCGACCAAGGAACAGAGTCCAAGTTCAATGGTTTAGCGAATAAGCGCAATGAATCTTCAAAAGCCCTATGGTCAAGACGAGTGTTTGGTGTAAAGAACATGGCTAGCATCGTAAAGTCAGTGCTTTATAAGTTCAAAACGTTGGGAAGATATATCCATATAAAATTTCACAAGCTGCACTCGACTTTAGGTGGTAGGGCTGGATGCCTAAAAACAGACAAAGCAGAACCATGTGAAACTTAACTGATTGCTTCACCTGATATGTTTCTAAACATTCTTCAATAGAATCTCACTATCCCTATCCAGTTTTTTTTTTTTTTAAGGTTTTAGCAAATTGCCATCTCCCTCTATATATTTAGGCATTAAAGACACTACTTCAAACCAAGTGTTCAGTCTTCAACACACTAAAGCTTTCTATCAATTAAAGCAAATCTTGAGCTTCTTCTTCTGTCTCTTTTTTCTTCGCTAAGATGGGTATCCAACTAATGGGACTAGCTCATGCCAAGCAAAAGCTCCAGCGAACACTTTCAGGAAGAATTGGGAATGCATTGGCAGCAACATCAAATGTTCCTAAAGGCCATATTGCAGTTTATGTTGGGGAAGGCAACAGGAAGAGATTTGTGATTCCGATAACTTACTTGAATCATCCTCTGTTTCAAGACCTGTTAAATCGAGCTGAGGAAGAATTCGGATTCAACCATCCAATGGGTGGTCTCACAATTCCGTGCAGTGAAGAGTACTTCATCAGTCTAACGACATTATTAAACTGTTCATAGATGGTTGCAGCACCAAAATTAAGGATGCAGACAACATTAATCTCTTTCTTCTCGCTTACATCGAGACAACATGATTAGAGACAGTAAAAGCTTTAAAAAAAAAAAGCAGTCTCTTCAAATTTTTGTTCTGCAGGTCCTGCTAATTCAATCGCCTGTAAACATTCTGTAATTTGGAAAGCAACGAGACTGTGATTCCTTTGCTGACAACAAAACCTGTTGCTCTGAGCCAGTTTGATTATTGATCAATCAATCGTTCTGCAAGTTAAATTCATAGTAAAATAGACTAAAAATCAGATAAAACTATCGATGAACAAAGCCTCAAAGTCTTGCCCAAGTTATCACGTTTGCTACTTGCTTTTTGTCCTTGGCAGAAAACTGAGAACTATCTCGTCAGAGCTTGCGTTTACTCTGGAAATTGCTGCTGTTCCTGTTCAGTTTAACACCTAAGGGAAAGCAGGTGAGGTCTCACGTGGATATTCTTGACACTTGTAACAGAACCAACTACCATTACTATGCATTTCCTGGCCACAATCGGCAAAAAGAAGCCACTCAAGTTGCCTTCTGCTGATTTTTTATGAAGATTTCTTTATGATTAAGATAAGCACTTTCCCAATTTTTTTCTAAGAGGTTTCACTAATCCGTTATTATTTAATATCTTTTTATTAAAAACACTAATTAATTATAATCTGATAAATTTTAATGTATTGAAAAATATATTACTTAATATGATAATCACGAATGCTTTGCAAAAAATATATATGATAATCACAGATGCCTTGCAAAAAAAAAAATATGATAATCACGAATACTCTTAGATAATTCGTTATCAATATTTTTTGTTATTTTTAACCAAGGTTATAATATTATCAGATATCAGGTAAAATAAAAGTCCCTATTAGTTTTTTTTTCCAAAGCATGCAGAAGAGAATTAAACTGAAGGACCAGATACAGGGCAATGTGTACAGAATTAATTATTTCATTTCTAAGTTGTGACCACACGAGAGGTTTGTTTTGTCTGGCTAGTGTTGGCTTTTGTAATAGCACTAATAACAATTCTTTACAACTTTAGGAGGTGCCCACTACTTAATCCTCCACTAAATCTTACTAGAAATATAAAAATTATTAACAGAGAAGGGATTAACGACAAATTGGTTAATTAGTTTCTTTTAGAAAAAAAGCGGTTTATATATATATTAATTATACTTAATAAATACAAAGAATTAACAAAATGCGTAAAAATATTCAAAAATCAACTAAAGTTTTATTCAGCAAATGGGAGTAAGGCGGAAAGTAGCTGTGATGGCACAATTCATCCTGTCACTAATCTCATTTTAAGGATTATCAATCAATTACAGAGTTTAAGAATTAATTTTAGAATTTGATGAATCGATTTTAAAGTTTTGGTGATTGGTTTTAGAGTTTTTTTTAGGATTGGAGGAAGATAGATTCAAACTCTGCTATTTAGGCAAGGGAATAATGCACTAACCAACAAGTCAAATGCTTGGGTGCATGATTGGTTTTAGAGTTTTGTGAATTAATTTTAAGATTTTTTATAAATTGGTTTTAGGGTTCTGTGAATATATTAGAAGGTTTGGTGATCGGTTTTAAAATTTTGTGAATAGGTTATAGGGTTTTGTGAACTTGTTTTAAGTTCGGCAAATTGATCTTAAGATTTCATGAATCAAGTTTTAGGGTTTTATAAATTGATTTTAAGGTTTGGTTTGATTTTAAAGTTGTGTGAATCGATTTTAGGGTTTTAAAGTTTGATGAATCGATTCCAGATTTTATTAATCGATTTTAGAATTTGATGAATTGATTCTAAGATTTTGAATGCAAGAACAAAAATGCCGTTGGAAGTTGGACAACAAGAGACTCATGGCAATCATATGACTATATGATTGAAACCATTACATAATCCTGTTTGTAACCCTTATTCATCAATCTTTGCAAGTTACAATACTTCTTCTATATATATATATAAGTAAAGTAATAGTTGTCAGTTTGCCTTTTTGGGTCTCAACATGCTAATCACGACGATGAATATTATTGGACAAACTTAAGCCACAATCATCTATATATATGTTTGCAGGAAGATAAACCCCATTGATGACAGACTATTATTTGACTGACATCTGCGAGGCATGTTTACACTTGTCTTCATATATATATTGAGCTACGAATGACAACTATTACTTTACGCATCTATATATTTATTTACAACTATTCTATATTTTTTTCAATAAATTTGGCATATATTGAGTTTTCATTAGTAAAAGATTTAAAATTTTTTTCTCAACTTAATTTTTTATTTTTATTTATTATTGATAAAAATTATGAAAAAAATGTTTTAAGGATTTTTCAATGATCTAAATTTTACATATATTTTATCTAAAATTTAATCATAAAAAATATATATAATAATAGAGTTAAAGTTGAAAAATTTTTACTAAAGAAAATCAACATATGACAACTTAAACATGATAAAAGAGTATAAGAATAGTCCTTATTTGTAGATAGTGAAAATTTACAATAAACTCTAAAAAAAGAAAGAACTATATAGGAAAAAAAAAGACACTATATATGAATATAAATTTATATATAATTTTTTATTAATATATTTTTATGTGAAATTAGCTTTATTTTATTCATTTCTTAAATAACAAAACCGAGCAAAGGTCAGTATTATAAAGATGTTGAATATTCTAAATATAAATATTGTCATATGCTTTGTATGAATGCTTCTTACAAGTTTTGTTCATCATGCTTTGACAATATAATGCTAATAAAGATACGTACAAGCGAAAAGAATATAATTATTTAATAATTCTATTTTATAGAATTATCTTGTATTCTTTTAAGTTTAAAAATGATTAATGTTTTTTTGTTTTTTAATTAATTTAAATTTTGCTTTTACATTTTTTTTAATATTTATCTTATACATACTTTAATAGTTTAATTAAGCAATTTGACTCTATTTTTTTGTTATTAAGTCTTGTTTATACTTTCTATTAATTGTGTTATATGTTGGTGAAGATGAAAAAAGTTTGGGTGTCAAATTTGTAAAAAATCATGTATTTTTACTTAAATTAGCCTTCATACATGTTACAATGTTTTAAACATAACTCGAGTTACAGAATTTCAATCGATACGATTCTTAGACCCACAGAAAGCTAATAAAAAGATTACAACTTTAATATTTAGTACTTTACCCAATTCAAAAGATATCATAGTAAAAAATGTAAAAAAAGTCGATTGACTATAGCATATTGCATAATGCAAAACAGCAGGTTTCTCACTATAGTGAGATTCATTTTGGCTGCTGTGAGATTTTCAACAACTCAAATAAGAGTTTTTCGCTACAGCGAGAATACATTTTTAACTGCAATAAGAAACATGAAAAAAATATTTTTTAAGTCAAAGACCTTTTTTACTGTAGCAAGAATCCTTTTTAATTGTAGCAAAAACACGTCATTTAATGAAGAAATTTTTGCACAAGGTTCTATGGCAAGGGCTGAAGGTGGAGGGTTTAAATTCATGTTGTTGAGTTGAGAAAAGACAGTTTTGGGATGAGCAACTTCAAAAGCAGAAAGGAGCCTTCCACAAGGAAAAAAGAAAAGGAAAAATCTTAAAGAAAAACTTGACAAAGCTACAGTAAATAGAGTTTTCTCTAACTTGTTTATTTCTTTTTCTCTAAATCTCCATATATAAATACTTAGTTATGGTTAAATTTTGTTACGGACTGTTGAAATGTTAAACTAAATTTTTATTTCTAAGATTATAATAAATATTAATATATAGTTTGAATGTTTGATTGACTATTACTTATTTTATAAAATATTTAATGTTTATTTAAATTTACATTTATTTTTTATTTTATTCATTGATCTCCAATAAAATGTGTATGAGTATTTAGATAATACTTAACAAAATTAATCTAAAAAAATCATAATTTGGATAGTATATAATCATTGCAATCAAAAAATAATTGAGTGATTTGTTAAGTGTAGACACTTATTTTTTACCCCAATAATAAATAATAAATAAAATAGTATATAATCATTGCAATTGAGAATTAATTGAGTGATTTGTTAAGTGAAGACACTTATTTTTTACCCAAATAATAAATAATAAATATAATAAATAAATCACTGTTAAAAAGGAAAAACCCAGGCTTGGCCTCCATGGTCAACAGCCTCCACATTTAATGAAGCATGGGCAACCGGATTTGGGTCACCTACGGTTGCCATCCACTGGTTTTCTTTGACTTAAAGCCCTTCACCTGTTCAGATTGTCCAAAAACTTGGACAATGAGGTTCTATAAAAACTCTTAAATTTTTTTATTTTGGGAGGAGGCCGGATTGAAAAGAGAAAAAAAAAGCCCTAAGGAGCCGAATCTGCAAAACAAAAAATCCTAGTAACTGAAAAAACCAGTAACCGAAAAACCCATTTTTAAAGAACCCTAGCCTACTGAAACCCTGAAAACCCTTGCTAAAAGTCTAAAAATCCTTAGGAAAACAAGAACCAATATACCCTAGTTAGCCGAAATTCCTAGTCACGATCACAAACTAGAAAAAAAAAACCAAAAAAGCAAAAAACAACCGAAAAACAAAGAAACAAAAAAGAGCCAAAAACCATTAAAACCTAAAACAAGATCTTGGAAATGGGTTTGGTGAGGTTTTGGAAGGGGAAGTAGCCGTTGGTAGAGGGTTGATGAAAGTTTGAATATTTGAAGGTTTAGGTTTTTTTATTGAGAAAGAGAGTGAACGGGGGAAGTTATTTAACAGAGAAGGGAGAGCAGCCATTAGAAAGAGAAAATGAAAATTAAAAATGAGAAAGAGGATTAAAAAGGAACTTACAGTTAGGGTTATAAGGAGCAAGGTGCTAAACAGCAACAGTTGGTGCATGACGCACGAAAAAAGGAAAAGGAAGAAGGTAGGAAGAGGCGGGCAGCTGTTAGCCCACGAGACAGAGTTTGCTAACTTTTGGGCCTATTTGTGTCCACTTGGTATGGGCTCTTCTCACCTTCTTATTTTTCATGTGCTTGGGCTTGTTTTCATTTTTGTTGGTTATGCATATTAATAAATGATGTTAAGAACAAAAATATACATCTAAAGTATTATTAGAATAAGAATTAAAGAAATTGTAAACATAGATATAAACAATAATAATAATAATAATAAATAGAAAGCTGGAAATGAAAAAGATAGATAAATATTTAGCTATAAATGTTTAGGTTTAGATAGGTAAGATATATAAAAAGAAAATAAATGGTAATCGGATTAGTTAGAAAATTATAAAAATAAATAAAAATTTAGCAAAAAAAAAAGATTTAAATAGGAAAGAATATAAAAATATGTAGTTGTAGAGAAATAAATTTAGATCAATGGAAAATATGAAAGTAATGAAATATTTAGTCATAAAAAATTAAGATAGAAAAATAAGTAAAAATAGTAAAAAGAGAAGTTTTTAAAAAATAGAAAAAAAATTTATTCCCAAAAAGGTAGAGCAATAATAATAATAATAATAATAATAAT